GAATCAGGGTTGGGTAAGGCAGAAAGCAGATAACAGACAAAAGTCTACCTGAGAATGAGGGCAACTGAGAGACTGGAGGAACAACCGACTGTAAGCTTCATGAAAACAGGGATGTGATTGTTTCATTTATAGCTGTATCTTCAGTGCTTAGCAAAGTACCTTCACAAACAAGACATTTGATAAATGTTTGGTGAATGAAAAACATTGAGATGAAGAGAAGGGAGAAGAGCTCCAATCTGATTCTCTACTAAGCCACAGGAAGAGTATCCACTCAGTCAGGTGCACAGGCACAGATCTGCGGCTCTCATGGTGCTTATAACCTGCAGACATGCAGTTATCTGCATATTAGGGACATGTTTTTCTCCATGTTCTTTGGGCCCTACCTGCTCCGCCAGCTGGTGTTTGTGTTCAGCTGAGGTTTTCTCCAGCTCTGCGATGCGTGTCTGCTGCTGCTGTACCACTGAGCGCAGGTGCTTAATGCAGTTGTGGTTTGGCAGCTCATCTTTGGGCATCTCCAGGCTACCGCCCAGGGTGGGAAAAAAGAACAGGAGCATTCAATGGGACACGTGGGAAGAGGCAGAAAAACTTGCTGAGAGGGTTTTCTCCTACCCCAAATTTCTAATATTCATTTCTAACTTCAGGTTTCTCCCTCTTGTTTATTCTCTTCATTTCCTCCTCCCTAGCTCCCCCCTCACCCTTTTGCTATCTACTTTCTCTAGGCTTCTTTCCTTCTCTAAGACAGTGTTTAATCTACCACATGGCTCTCCTTTCCTCCAACAGATTCTGTCTATGCACTCATTCCTGAGAAGCTCTAGATTCACAGCACTAGCTATCAGTATTTAATCAAATATTTCACACTCCAAAGAAGAAAAAAATAGGGGAAGAGGAAATATGAGAAGGCTGGAAATTAGAGCAGTCAGTCTTACAAAGAGAAAATAATACTGGATTGAAAGGGAAGAATAAAAGCAAATCAGTTTTTAGTGTTATCATGCAGATTGGTGAATTGCTGTCACCTTTCTCATATTGAAGAGCAAAAAGATCATAGTTGGAAAAGCAGCATGAAAGTGAGCTCTTGAGGCAGAAAGTCAGAGAGGGAGGCCAAGAACACTCCTTGCCTACATGCACAGGAGACCTGCTCAGCCAGCGAGCAGGGAATCCAGAGACGGATATAAATGGGAAGGCCCTCATCCATGTGGGGCGGAAGGGAAGGACTCTCACCCGCAGCCCTGTTCACAGGTCACAGGCCGTTTTGGGTTGTGCTCACAGTCGCTGAGGTGAGACATGAGGTTGTCAAGCCGGACAATAGCACTGCAGCCAAATACAGCGTTGTCGCAGGCAATCTGCAGCTTTGACAACATGTTCCGCATGATCCGAGGTACTGGGCGCAGGTGGGCGACCGTCACAACGCTACGGTCCACCGGACATGTCTGCTGCTGAGAGAACCACTGGGTGATGCAGGCGTTGCAGAAAGCATGCTCACAATGAGGTGCCTAGAGGGAGAGCAGGGCAAAAGGGCACAAGAGAATTAGCAGGAGCTAAGAGCCTGGCTATGATAACTCGCAAAGCCAATCAAGCCTTTTGGGCAGCTTCCAGGACTAGAGGTCCCTGGGGTCACAGCAAAATATAGCTGCACTATGAGCAAGGAATTGTGGGGGACAAGCTTCATGTGTGTCTCCTGTGCTCAAGAATCGAAATGGATTGTTACCTAAGACAGACAAAAAGTTATATATCAATAAGATATAAATAATATTCCAGGTCAGTAGGAGAGATGGCATAAGGCAGTCAATTATTAACTGCCAACTGGATGGCAGACACAATAATTGCCAAAGAAATCCAGAGAAGGGTGAGATCATTCCAAGCTAGGTCAATCAGGGCAGATATTTATGGAGAGGTCAGAATTCACTATGGGTCTTGAAGGATAAGGAGAAGGGAGGGGGGAAGAGATTTACTGGCAAAAGTTCAATGTAAGAAAACAAAACAAAACAAGAAAGCCCAGAACTCTTGGTGAGAGGTTAAGAGTCCTCTCTCTGTGGGCCCAAGTTCTTATTTTACAAGGGCTGCTTTGCCTTGAGTTCCAATGGCCAGGCCTGCCCACCAAAACAGGGTTGGTTTTTTGTAGAATCACATTTTTTTCAGTTTCATAAAAATTGTATTTCAGCCTACTTCCTTGATAACTGAGATAACCTCTAAAGTTAATCCCCAAAGAGAGGATTCCTTGGCCTCTAGCATGGAACAAACACAGTAGTAGGTACTTAATAAATGCTGATGAATGAATGAAGTGCTTACTACATCCTAAAGTCTTTGCTAGGAGAGTAGGTCAAAAAAAGACGGTTTCTGCCCTCAAGATGCTCACAGACACCAAAGACTGAAACATAGAAGGCTTTGTAAAGAAGCTATTCCCATTATCACTAATCCAACTGTCAGTAGATTTTTATTTTTCACTCAAAGACGTTTGAGTCTTTCCAAAGTCTTATGAACCCTAAGTCCAAAAAATCTTTGTCTACTTTTCCTCATCTCCATAGCCACTAACCCAGTTCAAGCAATCATCTCTCACCTATATTATTAAATATGTCTTCTAACTGGTTTCCTTACTTCTACCTTGCCCCTTTATAATCCATTCTACATTCTGCAGTGAGAGCGATCATTTAAAAATGCAGACTAGATCACATCACTCCCCTGTTTAAAACTTTACAATGGCTTCCCATTGATTTTTAAAATAAATCGAAATACCTACTCAGGATCTATAACATTCTGTATGATCTGGCCCTATGCTTCTGCCCTCTCACCTTACACCAACCACCCATCACTGTGTTCAGGCCTTTTGGGCTTGCTTTCTGTTCTTGTCTATACCCGGCTCATTCCTGCCTCAGGACCTTCACTTTTGCTGCTCCTCTTTGCCCAAAATGCTCTTCCTCTAAATCTGAGCATGAATGGTCCCATCTCATTCAGATCTCAGTTCAACTGTCACCTCTTTTGTGACAATTCTATCTAGACTTGCTGCCCCTGTAGAAATAGATAGAAAGTATTACCTATCATGTAAGTATAAAAGGTTGGCAAATACATATAATACATACTCATACTTTCTTGTATCTGCCCACATATATACTGGAGAGATACGAAATAAACTAATAGTTATCTATGGAGGGATTAGGTGGACTGGGACAAGAATGGAAAAGTTCTCACTGTATATCTGATTATACTGTTTTGATTTCTGAACCATATGAATTTATTACCTATCCAAAAAACAAATAAATATGATGTGAGGAAATCAGCATCCACAGCAGGGGCCTTCTACCCTTGGAAATGTAGCTAGTAACCTGGCATCACTAGGTCTGCCTGGCCTGTTCTTCAGAAGGTAAACTCTGAAGGGTGGGGGACAGCTTCTGACAGTCAGTCGCCAAACACCACTGACCTCTCTACATGTGACTCATCTCAAATGATAGTGCCAGAAAACAGACAGGGTCCTGCCAAGATGGGGAGGGAAATGACACACCCCATGACCTCTTGACACTACCAGGACAGCTCCACATCCAGCCTATCTGCTTCTAATGGCAGTAGGCTGTGAAAGCCTAGACAGGGGAGGGATCTAGGTCTACAGGAATACAGGTGGATTTTCATTCCACTCAGGCATCTATGCTCCTTTAAGTGGTTGAAACTGGAGAGTAAGAACGAACTCAAAGGATCAAGAGGAGTTGGAATGTAGTAAATTATATAAGCAGTGAGTGGAGGAAGGGCCAGAGACTTCATTGACTGCTGTCCTGGTTTGGAAAATGGGATTCTCTAGCTAGCCAGGAAATTGATATCTATAGAGTGCAGGCAATAAGGTCCATGAAGAGGATGTCCCAGGAATAAAATTGTTAAGAATTAATCTCACACATTATACCTGCCTATTAAACATGAGCTCCTCTGCCTGCCCCAGGAAGATACAACTGACTCTGGTCTGGTAAGGCTGGTAGAGAAATGACCTACTGAAGGTGGCAGTTTCACATCAAATGCAGAGTACATGGCTGCATCAAAAATTGGTTTTTCCAATAAATCACAGGAAAATAGGTCAGTACATACAGGTCCCCATTTCCTATTTGTTAAACAGTGGAAAGGCAGAAGAGGCCTGCAGGGAGACTGGCTGCTTACCTAAAATACTACTTAATCAAAATGCAGAGAGAACTCATCAGGAGAGTCCAGAAGTTTAATCATGGGTAGGAAGACAACCTAGGCAGAGCCCCTGCAGAGGAAAGGAAGTTCCCAAGCTACTGTCAAAAGACAGAAATAAACAGATGACCATTTTACAGTAGAAAAATCTCAGAGCGACCTCAGAAGAAAATCTGAAGCACTGGACTTCTGTGGCATCCACTTCTAGACAGACTCTGCAACACCCTATTCCTCTTGTAGTCACCACTGCTCCTCCATACCAAATCTCTATTGTATGTGTGGGTGGCGGGGAACACAGGGAGCCAGAACACAGTGATTTCCCATTGGTCCCATGACCTATGAATATTTTCTACTAACTCCACTGCCATATTGCCCCAACAAACCTGCCATCAGGCCAACTCACCTGGACTGGCTCCTCCAAGACTCCACTGCAAATAGGACAAATAAGATCTTCGTCAACATCCCCCTGGAAACGGGTTACATCATACCCCATGTCTCATCACTAAAACCCAGGTCCTGGAAGGAACAACATAGGAAAAAGAGGCCAGTTCAGATGAAGCCTACAAACATGTGCCAGCTTGAACTCATTGCCAAGATCCATGCATTCGTCCAACAATTACTTGTTGAGAGGCTACTATATTCCAGTCATTTGGGGGAAAAAAGCTGACCCAAGAAACTTAATTCTAATGGGAGAAGATATTTTATAAGCATGTATTTAAAATATGAAGTGATAAATGCTTTGATAGAGTAAGCACAGGGCATTATGAAAGCAAGAGATGTAGATACCTAACCGAGGCTGAAAAGTGAGGGTGATTTTGAGAAGTTTTCTAGATGTCACCAATAGGACAAGCAAGAGTTACTAGGTGTTGGGGAGGAGGGCAAGTCAGCATTAGGGTTTCAGGCACATGAAATAGCATAGCCAAAGGCCCAGAAGTAAGAGAGCATGAGATGGGTTTCCAGAATTCTAAGTGGTTCAGAAAAAGCTGACCTGAAGAGTGCAAGGAAGGGAGCATCTAGATACAAAGCTGGAGAGGTAAGCAAGAGTCAGGCCCTGAGAAGTCTTATATAAGGAATTTGGACTTTATCCTGAAGGCTACAGGAAGCCACTGAAAGACTTAAATGGAATGACTGGATAAAAGTTCCCTTTTAAATCACTCTGTCAACAGGGGTGAGATTGGAGACAGGAAGAACATCTAGGCAGGAGAGAGATGGTAGGAATCTGAACTTAGGCGGTGGTAGCAGAGATAAAGAAGGAGGGAGGTTCATGAGAGCAAGGACTCAAAGAGCAGTGGGGCTGCCATGCCCCTTCTTTGGGTCACTGAACAGTGACTGAACCTGTTATGTGGACGGCCAACCGGTGGGCTAATTGGATCAAAGATGGGCACCTGATACAAGGGCTGCCAATCCACAAACTAGACATCAACTATGATGTCCTGGAAAAGATGAGCTGAGTCGATCAGATGGTTACCAGGAATTTACAATCAAATTATTGAATTTAAAAGGATGGGGGATGGGTAAGATGCAAAGAGGACTTGATAGGTCAAGTGCCAGGTAAAGTATAGCACTGGATTGAGTCAAAACTGACTGGATTTTCCCCAGTTCTACTCATTAGCTGTGTGACTTTGGGAAGGCTATGTAAACTTCCTAAGCCTAAGTGGTTTTTTATAAGGAGATAAAAGTGAGTATAAAAAATAATAGAAGTGACTTTCACAGAGTTGTCCTCAAAGAGATAATGCATATAAAACATTTAGCAAAGTGCCTACTGGCACACAGTAGGCACTCAACACATGATGGTAACCATTGTTTATATATACATCTAATTTCTCCTACTTGATTTAAAAATTCTTTAAGAGCAGTCACATCTAGTATAGCACCAAGCACAGTTCCTTACAAATCAGTAAAATGTTTGGTATATTTAAATGTTCCTTTAACTGGGAGCTTCCCAGCAACTAGGGTATAGTGGACATCTACTATTTTACCAAACTTACTTTTCCACAGTTTTCCTTTAGGAATCATACCCTGGCTCCTAGCAGACATGTGACCCAACCCAGGACAGAGAGTGATACCTGGAACTTCTACTGGAGCTTTCAAGGGAAGCTCTTTCCCATGAGGCTGCATAGCTGGTTGGATATACAACCCACAGTGGTTGTGACCATCTCTACTATTAATGAAGACAGCCTGCTTATAGAGTAAAGCCAGTAATGAAGAAAGTGAAGCTAAAAGACCAACTGTGGATGAGATCATTTGAGGTCCTGGATTCAGCCATGCCTAAAGCCATAATCAGCTTTCGAACATCTGTTACATGAACCAATATATTCTCTATTATGTTTAGGCTGGTTTGAGCTGGGGTTCTGTCTCTCTCAACTGATAAAAATTCTGATTAATACACAAGCTAATGGATACAAGAAATCACAAGGCTCCCTTTGGAACCACTTATCTTTCTTTACCCATTTTAAATAGGAACAATGATACCCTGTGACACTGCTAAAATTACAATGACCTCCATCACCACCATTTCTCTATATACTTGTTACTCTATCTCTAAGGCCTTAAAGTTCAGGGCCTCGGGTTTACTAACAATCCCTCTGAAATTGTCACTGTTAACCACTCTGGCCTGGCTATTGGAAGTGAAAGCCAGACTGCAGTGGTTCAAAGTGAACAGGAGGTGGGACAGAGAGACAGGAACTAAAGATAATTAGTCAAAAGCTTGATTTCAAAGGAAGAGAAAGAGAAAGAACTATCTAGAGGAAGACAGGAGGTTAAGGAAGTGGGTTGTGTTGGGGGTGTTTTTCTTCATGATGAGAAAAGCTTGAGCATGTTTGATGTACTAAGAGGAAAGCATTGGTAAAGAGGGAAAGATAAACACAGGAGAGAATCTGGTCACCGAGGTAGCAGTAGGTAGGGAGGTGATCTGGAATTATGTTAAACAGGAAGAGGGACATCTCTAAATCAGGAAGGAAAGAAGAATGGTACAAAAAGAGGTCCAGATAAGTTTTTTAAAATTACACCAGGAAATAAATAAAAATAAAAATCATACCAGGAAACTTTAAAAAAACAAATGGTCACTTATTCGTTTACATGAATGATAGAGGTACAGTTAGATGGTTATGGTAATATAAGCCCATTTGATGGAATAATATATATATTTTAAATGATGCTTATGGAGAATATGCAATAACAAGATATAATAATAGGTAAAAAAGTAGGATACAAAATTGAATACAGGTATGTTTAAAAACTTATATTTATAAATAATCCATATATAAAAAGTGACCAGAATGAAATATCAAAAATATTAACAGTGGTTTATTTGGGTGTAGGACTAAGGATGTTTTTCTTCTATTTTTAATTACCAAATACTTTAATGAGTATATATTTTTAAAAATCATAATTCAACTTTAGTCTTCTACAAATATGGAAAATATTTTTTTTTTAATTTAGAAATTACTTGAGAATAAAAAATACAGGAATGCTTTTACTTTTGAAGTACAGGAATAAAAGATGATAATTTGATCACACCTGGAAGTTTTCCCTATTGACCTGGTTAAGACAGTCTTATTTTTGCCTTCAGAGTTAGAATGCACCATAAAGAGATCATCATCCAGTTTTACAAAATCCCACGGTAGGAATCTTCTCAACAGTACCCAACAGTTAGTCATCCTGTGCTTAGATACTCCTCGGAAAGGTCAAGATAAGGTGCAAGAGCACAGATGAGAGCCCAGACTCACTTCTCTCATAGCATTCTAGAATGCCTATGTCCCTCTAAAACGGGGTACCCAGAGCTCCACATGTGGACTAATATGGACAGAATGGGACTATTAGCACCTTTCCTCTCTACTTCAATTAATACAACCTAAGACTGGTTAGTTCTGTTCTAAATGACAGCTACTGCCACTCTCATAGTCCAAACAAACACACAAGGCTAAAAGGAAGAGGAAGGGGCAGGGGCAAGAGAAAAAGTCAAGAAGGAGAACTATCTCAGACAGCTTCTGCATGAAAGCAAAAAATCCCCAAATATCTATAATTCATCTGTTGAACTGCTAACCACAACACCTACCTTAATTAAGTAAATTGTAATTTGGTTTCTCTACAATAGCTATAAAATTAATCACAAGAAAAAAAATCATTGCTGCCTTTAAAATGTATCAGGTATGAAAAGACTATTAAGAAATGCTGTTAAGAAAAAAAAAAAACAAAACTAAGGTATAGAATAGTATATATAAAGTATGCCACAACAAGTACAAAAAAACAATATGTATGTGTATATGCTTACATATACATGGAACTCTTCATAAGGACACAGAGGAAATTGCCAATAGTGGTTGCCGCTGAGGAGGGAGTAGCGAAGGAAAAAGAGATAGGAGAAAAATTTTAATTTCCTTAATTATCCCTTTGTGCCTTTTAAAAAGATTTTCCATGTGTGTGTATTCACTATTCCAATAAAGAAAGAAATCTGTAATTATCCTAAATTGTGAAAGAAAATATTAAGGTTAAAACAAAAAACATGTCCAAAATATTCACTTAATGTGAATAAATTATACATCACATACTATAACAAGGTCTGGAAAAAATGTACTCTTGCAAGAAAAAATTGATAAAACTGAATCACAACAAAAAAAACAGCAACTGTCCCCAAAAAGTATATACCTTTTGACCTAGCACTCCCACTTCCAGGAACTTAGCCTAAGGAAATAATTACACAAGGGCATAAAAACAATATACCAGGTTGTTTATCTAAGCATTGTTTATAACAACAACAATATCAGTAGTACCACAAATATGCAGTAGAATTCCTTACAGTTATAAAATGGGACACCATATAGCATTAATATGACTTAGACATATTTCTTTATTAATAATTTGTTTAAATTATTTTAATGTATTTGTTATTTGCATAATAAATAAAAACATTTATGCATGTTATATATGCTATAGTGCCATTTTTGTTAAAAAGTATATTTATATTTATGTATGTACACATTTATATTGGATAGCATCTAGAAGGATATGTATCAGAAAAGCTGTCTCTAAGTATATACTTTTAATACTTTTCACTCAGTTTTGCTTTATTGTTTTTTCTACTTTTTCTACAATAATATTTTACTTATACAATTAAATAATAATGAAGTCAACTTTTATTGAGCACTATTATACGCTAGGCACTATTCTAAGCATTTCTTGTATATTAACTCATCTAATTCTTACAACAATCTATGAATTACTCTATGAGGTGGAAACTGTCATTATCCATAATTTACAGATGAGTAAGAGATCCACAGAAGTTAAAAAATTTGTCCAAAATCATGTAAGTAACAAGTGGTTCAGCCGGATTTAAACCGAGGCAGAGTGGCTTCAGAACCTAAGCTTTTAACCAATGTGGTTAAATGCCTCGCAAACTGAAAAACGCAAATTACAAAAACATTATGTATAGTATGGTCTCATTTTTATAAAACAATTCAAAAAGTAATAAGTAATATATGTAGTGTACACATTTTCGAAATCTAGATACTATCATTATTCTTTTGATCTAGGTTATATATTTCTGCAAGATTTAATTTTAAAAAATCAGTTATCTTTAGAGCAAGGAGCAAAATTAAAAGATTATCCTTTTTTCCCTGTTGCCATGGGCAATGTAGAAAACTGGCCTAGAGTTTGTACTATGCTTCGCTGCACTTTCATTTTAAATCAGTGCTAACAATAATGTCTTAAGGAGGAATACAAATTCTGAAAACTTAACTAATGGTGTCTCAGGAGATTCCACATCCCCAAAACAAACAGCAGAGAACTTGCCTCAGTTGGTGCAGAGATGGCCAGAGGATGTGTGAAGCCACCAGCCACGGTTAGGAGCTGCAAGCTGCAAGCTTCCCACCATAAAGTCGTGGTTTATAAAACTGCAGAGATGCTGGGCATTGTTCTTTCCAAATTAACCCCATCCCCAACCTTTATCTGCTTAGAGAGTGCCTGTTTTATCTACCCTCCTAAAAATGCATTCTTTCAGGGGTGCAGACCTCAAGAATTATGGGGAAATTTAGATTTCTCATATGATTAGGTATTCTCTATTTGTCACCTATGAGAAACAAATGTTGAAATAGTTTTATACCTTGGAAGCCAGCTCCTTGCCCTACCTTGCCCTGCCACCAGGCAGACAGTCAAACTGATAGGCTAGACTCCTTGACTATATCTCTACTCTCTGGGACTCCCAACATTATCATGGGGCTAACACAAGGGCAAGATATCATCCCAAGGGGGATGCCTCACAAGGATGCACAGCTCACTGCCCTGGGGCAGAAGCCTTAATAAAATTGAAACCACAGAGACCTCAAGAGTTACAGCCAGTGACTACAACCACCAGAAGCACAGTTTCCTTGATATTCTTCTTGAGCTATGAAATAGGAAATGGCCTTGGAAGGTTTTACTCACATTGGGGAGCTGAATTAAAGTAGCACTGAGGTGTCTCTTCAAGCTTAAAGGCATTCTGCCAGCCTCTCTGATCTGAACATCCTGAACTCAAACTGAAAGTGCATTCCCCACCTGCTAATCTGCAAGTCAGAACCAAACCAGGTTTTATGTTCCTTTCCTTCCTCACTGTTACATTGGGGTCTCTCTTTCTATTCCTGGTCAGCATTATTATAAAAATGCAAGAGCTTCATCAGACCCCTTCTTACACCCTTTTAACATACTGTTACAGTTGTTTTCTCTGGTCTAGCCCTAGAGAGGGCTAGGAATTCAAAACAGATTGTTCATAAAGGAACCCAGATATTTATCCTTTCTTATTTGGGGTTTTCTGAACCCATGCACAAATGTGCAAATCATGTACATTCACGTGCACTTCCACATACTCAAATAGAAACATTAGAGAAGCCACTCCAACTCATAATTTGTATTTTAGGGTAACTGGACATGCTGTCACCAATTCTTGGCAAAAGCATAAAGTCTGTAAAAGCCAGGTATATGTGCTATAGTCTCCCTTCTAATTCTTCTCTCTGCCCTGAATACAACAGATGTGCAGAGGGCTTAGGAATTTCCAGCCTCAATTACTTCAAACCACCAGACACAAAGGGAAAAGGCCCCATAACTCGCCCAAGTATAAGGAAACAGGTGACTCTTAGGAACTTCAATCTAGTGAAGAAATTAGCTGGTGAAGGGTCTTACAGTTATCCCTAAAACATTTCATCATCTCCCTGCCTCACAATGAAGGAATAGGTCTGGAGAAAAAGAAAACTGAGTCAAAAATCCAGAAACCTGAGTTCCAGTTCTAGCTCCATTACTGACCAAATGTGTGACCTTAGGCAAGTTATTTAACCTCTCTGGACCTCAATTCCCTTAGTCCACATGAAATGAAGCATCCTGGAATACATAACCTCTATGGTGCTCTACAAGTCCCATGATTCTAAGATTCAGCATATAAAACTATGTTATAAAAGGTGTTCTGGCTTTAACACAGTCTTTGCTCTCCGTAGGCAACTCTCTTGATTTTTTAAGTGAAAGAAAGTTGTCTTTTTTAATTAAGCAGTAGAATCCTTAGACTGAAGTCACATCTCCTCTTGGAGAACTGAGTTCTTAAGAACTCAGTTTCCTCACCTGTGAGATGAGGGGGTGGGCTACCTTGCCTCTAAGGTTCTGTTCAATTCCAGAATGCTGTGATCCATACTGGATTTATTACAAGGGATTATAAAATTAGGCTTCCTTAGTACTTTTTAATGAATTCACTTTCCAAAGGATCCAGAGGGTATAAAATTCTTCAAGAATTCATCTAACACCTAAAAGGAAGCCTACCAGGCCTCAAAGGCAAGCAAGGACCTACCACTTGGTCACCAGCACCAAGCACTATTTGTGTGATTACCTTAAATCTCATCTTCATCCTATATACCCAGCCCCTTTGCCAGGAGAAACATGTAAAAGAAACAGAAAACACAATCCTTGTCCTCAAACTAAGGTGTAGGCTTGAGCCCAATGAGTGAGTATACAGCATATAAAACACATAAAAAGACATAAAATTTACTAAGCAATATACCAAGTAAAAGTTAGTAACTAGTGTAAAACATAAATATGTGAAGAACAGATTGATGTGGGTTAATCGTGGAAAGCTTTCTGCAGAAAAGAGTTTTAAGAATTAAGTTTTTAAGAGCAGAAGGAACCCAGATTGGCAGAGAAGAGGGTTGAAGGCTGAAGTGGGATTCCAAATCAAGGCTCTTTACCTTCCAAGTGTTGGGGGGCAGGTTCCCTGTTCACAAGGCTCCAACCCCCTGATGCTTCCAACCAGTGCCACTCAGGAGACGCTCCCAGTAACCCATCCTGTTGGCTATTCTTCAACTGAGTCTTCCTTCCTAGTGACAAACTCCATCGCCAAGGGGATGAATGTGATGTCACAATCAGGAGCACTCTATTAATAGGAACAAGGAAGAAAAAGGTGAGTCAAGGGAACTACCTCCACTTGGCAGTGAGACTGGACTGACTCGGATCTGGCAGTTGGTTAGGGAAGATTAGACAATTACATTAATGAGTAAAGGTTTCTGTGCTAAGCATACGAGACTCCCCTCTACGGACCGAGATCACTGGCCAAGGAATTACACGCATGGTCTAGGCCAGGGGTCCCCAACCCCCGGGCTGTGGACCAGTATTGGTCCATGTGACCTGTTAGGAACTGGGCTGCACAGGAGGTGAGCTGTGGGCAAGTGAGCAAAGCTTCATCTGTATTTGCAGCTGCTCCCCAGCGCTAGCATCACCACTTCAGCTCCACCTCAGATCATCAGGCATTAGATTCTCATAGGAGCACCGGTCTCTGGTGCCAAAAAGATTGGGGACTGCTGGTAGGAGATTCAAATATAGCTGAAAGGGGGAGAGAAAGGGACATGAAGAAAGGTAGAGACAGGGAGCTGTTCGAAGTAGACAAAGATTAGTTATTCTGTGTATACAACTACCAGTAATGTCAATGATTCTAAAACTGTGGTTATAAAATGCCTAGATCCATGATACCGTACGTGCACAATATGATGCTTTCATGTTTCCAAAGTGCTTTTGTATAAATTATTTCATGTAAAAAGAAATTCTGGTCCTACAATTGGAAAATACTATTTCATGAGAATGTTGGTACAGGTGCAATTCAACTTCCTAAGTGAAGAAACATTCCTGAGGGGATCAGGCTTTTAAAAAAAAATTAAGAGGCAATGAATCAGAAAATTGTTCCAGAATGGGCACCTGGGAAGACTGGATGTAGGCTGACCAGACTCTCATTATTAAAAGGATGGAACCAAGTAGAGGAAGACAAGACTTCGTATACTATGCAGAAGAGCAACCATTCAAATTCCTTTCCTCACCATTACATGTCTATCAATAGATTAAGGGCTGTGTTAGGAAGGAATAGGATGATGATTTTTATACATAAAACGGACCGTTTCATCTTCTGAGTATGGTGTACACATACTCATTAGTTTCCTATGCTTATCGGCCACAATACATTTAGTGTGACATTTCTGAACTAATCAGAGATAAAGGTGCAATGTTAGAAATACTTTCTCTTCCCTGTGGTGGGGGGGGCAGGGGTAAGCTGATATGTTTCTCCCCCATCTATAATACAGAGGAGAGTATAATACTTCCTCCATTTTGACAATACCCTATTTCCCAACAGCGTAGCATATGCCCCCTATACTCAAAAAAATGCTACCAGGAACCAGTGCTATTGCTCTGCTCTGTCTTCTTCCAGTAACAATTTCCAGACTCAGAAAGCAAATAGCTGCTCATGCTGGGAAAATCAATCCTACCTCAATGATCCCTTGGCCAGAACAAAACAGGATTTTTCAACTGAGAGGACCAGGAGTCAGGAGACTTGGGTTCTGGTCCCAGCTTTGCCAAGTGTATGACTTTTAGCAAGACATGTAGTTTCTCATTTCTTCACCTGTCAAGTAAGGAGAATGACACTTGCCTTATCTACCTTATATACTGTCCTGAAAAGTCAAATGACGTAAGAAATGTGAAAGCATACTGAATACTGTGATTCTCAGGTAAGGTATTTGTAGTGATAGAAAACAAAATAAATTTAGAGTACTGAGGGCCAGTGAGGAAATGCTTGAAAGAACGTTGTTCCTTCTTTTCAATTACTGGGAACTAGGCCCAGCCACAAAGTCAGCTGGACAGACTGGGTAGTAACATTATTGCATCACTCAGACTCCCTACCACTAGTCTACCCCATTCTTCTTTGGGGGAAAACTTCAGCCAGCAATGTCAGACTCTAAAACCACCTGTATAGGAAGGGATTAGACTGTCACTATCACAGCCCAGTTCCCAAGAACAGTGAGTGGCTCAGTGGTCTCATTAACAGCCACTTTGCTATTAGGAGTGAAGTCGGTTTCTGAAGGGAGAAGATGTCAGACCCTCAGGAAAAACACCCTTACCCCTCTTAGCTTTCCGTTCCTTCTTCAGCCCCCACTCCTCCTACTCCTCAATTTCCCCCACCTCTGGGGTTGGGAAAAGCTTTCTAGTGTGTGAACCCTGCAAAGTGGGCTTGGCCGCAAATCCAGGGCAGGGATGTAAGGAATGTGAGATTCCTTCATGGAGGGGTGGGAGGGGGAGAAGGGGGAAGGAATGGAAGAGCAAGACAAGGCTGCCAAAGACAAGGCATGGAATAGGAGCCAAGCTATGGCGATTGGAGGCGGAGGGTTCAGGTTCACCGCCGCCCCTGCAGAGGATGGTCCTCAGAATGTTCCCTTCTTCTCCTCCCACCCCGTCAATCATTGCCCATTTAAACACCACGTTGTCCCCCCATGTCCCCTCCTCTCCGTCCTCCAGACAAGCCAGGCCCCCTCCAGCATTTTTTAAGGCTTCCCTACTTCAGTGGACCGCCCCAATAACCCACCCTCCAGCGCCCCTTTCTCACCTCCCAAGTCCTCCTTATTGCTGCTCCCTTCCTCCATTTTTCATCTTTACTTCCATCCTTAATCTTGACCTCCAAAATCTCGAACCCCCGCCCCAATCCCCTTGGGGCATCGCCTCCTCCCTCCCCACACCCTCTTTTTGGTGGGAGCCCGCGCAGGCGCAGTACGCACCGCCCTGGAAGCGGTCTGAACTCTCCGTACACCAGCGCGGCTGGAGCTGAAGCCGCAGCGGCCACGGAACAGTCCCGGTGCCGTGTCCCAGCCTTTCCTGGGAGGGGAAAGGGAAGGAAAGGAGAGGGAGGAAGATTCCGACCACTCGTCGCCGTGTTAGACAACCCTTTGCCCCGCCCACTGCTGCTACGCAACCCGGCGGAAGCTCGTCACTAAGCCCCGCCTCTTTGTTTTACTTCCGACCTGGACTAAAAGCTAAGAGCGGCCAACGAGGAAGGCGGAAGGCTAGCCAGGCCTCCGCTCTAGACCGGAAGTTTTTATGGTCCCAACGAAGACTATATAGCCACTTGGGAGGGAGAACTCTATTTTCTTCCCAACGGGAACATCCCGGACTGATCCGGAGGCTGAATCCTCTGGAGGGCGAGACTTGGCTTTGGAGTGGCACACGTGTCCCGTGTCCTAAGGCTAATGCGGAGTGGTGCGAGATGGTCTCGAGTTGGCTGGCCTGCAGCGTGACCTGCCGTCTGCCAGGCCCCTCTCTCCTTTCCAGAGCCTTAGTCAGCATCCCAGAGCCTCCCGACCCTATGACTCACAGTCATAAGAGTGGATACGACAAGGCGACCACGCGGGGCTGGGGGAGACGGAGTAGGGGAGTGTCTGACCGCAAAGCTTTGATCTAGGGTGTCCAAAGGGTTGCCAGACTCTCTCTTAGGCGACCTCCTGACTTTCTGCTGTATCTACGTTGGCTCTCTGAACGCTCGTAGAGTTCTCTGAAACACCTGAGGGGAGAGAAGGGAGATAAAATGTCCCTATTCCTGGGTCGTGGTTTGTTTTCCTTAGGATACAACACCGTGGTTGGAGGTGTGGGCGGGAGAGAAGCTGAGCTCTGAGGAAAGTCAAGGTGGAGCTTAAAGAGCTCTAGAAGAGGGTAAGGGATTAATTAAGCAAGAGAAGGCACTATAATTACATGGCCCCTTAGACTAATCTGATATCAAATAGTATTTGTTATAGATATTCGCCAAGCAAAAGATAATGCACATGTATGTGCATTTGTTTATATGTATTTGGTTTATACACATTACTGAGCTACCTTACAAGTCTCAAAGGTTTGGGCATCCTCTTTTCAGTCATTTGGGGGGACCGACCCTGAGATCTAATGAGATAAGTGCATTAGGAACAGATGCCTTTCGAACTGTGAGAGGGACTAATGTAAATACTCTCTGCCTCGATCCCATTTCTTCCAAGGGGGTGAGTCTGCCTGTTGTCTGTGGTGTAAATGCCACTTTTTCTAGAGACCCTGCCCAAGCTAGGTAGTACATTAGAGATGGAGGACCCCAAATAGGAATAAAGATGAGGGTTAGAGCAGTGGGAGAAAAGGAGGAAACTGCCTTTTGTGTGCTAGGCACTGCTTTTTATATAATTTCTGTTTGCTCGTCTGCAAAATGGAATTACATATTAAGAACTGTCGGAAAAAGAAGTGAAGCACTGAGCCAGGTTTCAAAGTTTTGTCCGCCGGATTCCAAAACCCTTGGTCCTTTTTCCACTGTGTCACGTCTAGGAGAGGAAATGTTAGATCCTAAATGTATTCTCTCCATCAAGTAAAGGAAAATTGGAACCCGAGGTGCCCCCTAGTGGTCTATCTTTCTCATTGCGTAACCCAGCATCTCCCAGGCTCCTTTAATATCTGGTACGCCCCCTTCGCTGCGCGTGATTCTCGCGTCCCGATTGGCTGGGCGGGGGCCATGGCGAGCGCGCCAGGGAGGCGCTGATTGGCCGGAGGAGGCCAGAGGGAAACTTCCGGGAATATCCGCACTCCCGCGTTCCATCAAGCGGCATCCGGCAGCAGCGGGGCCTGTGGCTCCCCCTGCGGGCGGCTCAGCAGCATACACTGTCCAGCCGTCTGCCTGGGTGGGTGGTGGGCTGTGCGTGGGGGAGGGGAACGATCGAGCCCCGGGTTGTCCGGATGAGGGTTCGGGAAGGTTAGGAGAGTAAGATTCCATTCCCTGGCTCTGCACCGAATTCCCTACCCACGTCTCCGTCGGCTCCCCCACCTCGGGGCTTGAGACTGAAAAAGCATCCCGGGAGGGGGCCTTCCAACCCCGAAGCAGCCTACCCAGAGACCCTAAAATTCTGATCTTAAAGTTGGAGGCCTCTGAGAAGTTCGTTTCTAACCTTTTACAAGAGTTAGAGGGTTTGAGTCTGTCGGACTCCAGCCGAGTGTGGTAGGTAGACCTTGGGAAGTCGAGCTTGCGAAGAAGGCTCCAAGCGTTGAGGCTTCGTCTCCCTTTTCCCCTTCTAGTGGGGTGCTGAGGCTCGGGCAGCATGACGACGGAGACTTTCGTGAAGGATATCAAGCCTGGGCTCAAGAATCTGAACCTCATCTTCATTGTGCTGGAGACAGGTGGCTATGCTGGGTGGTGGGCCCCCTGCGCCGGTTCTCAGGGTTGGGGGGCAGAAGTGGAAAACATCACCTCCGTTCTTAACTTGCTCTCCATTCTTAATTTGAGCACCCCAGGACAACGGTCACGCCCAGTCACTCTCCTAGACCCCAGCCCGGAGAGTTGCAGTGAAGTGTAGGGTACATGGAACTCTTGCCAAATCCAAGCCTCCAGTGCCATGCGGGCCTCTTTTCATTCAGGGCCCTCTCCATGGTGCTGGCCCCTCCACTCCCCACCCCATCTCCACCCCAGCCTGCCCCAGAGATTTGGCGCTCCCTGTTTGTACACCTTTTCCCCAACCCCACCAATATCTAGATCTCATCCTTCTGACCACTAGCATTACCCCCATTTTATCTGTTTCCTCCAGGCCGAGTGACCAAGACAAAGGACGGTCACGAGGTTCGCACCTGCAAAGTGGCAGACAAAACGGGCAGCATCAATATCTCCGTCTGGGACGACGTGGGCAACCTGATCCAGCCAGGGGACATTATCCGGCTCACCAAAGGGTAAGCCAGCTGATGACTCCTGGCTATCCAAGGGCAGTAACTGTCAAGGGAGTAGGGTTGTAACTCTTCCGAATACTCTGAATCCCGCTTTTTGTGTCCCCAAAGGTATGCTTCAGTGTTCAAAGGTTGTCTGACACTGTACACTGGCCGTGGGGGTGATCTTCAGAAGATTGGAGAGTAAGTGCTGTCTTGGGCTTTAGGATGTAGAAGCACCAGGAGAAGGGGGGGGAAGTTTAAGGTTTGCAAGGAGTCAGCCTAAAGGTGTGCAGTCCGGGTCCTGTATCTGGACCTTTCTGAGGCCTCCAGCAGCGACCAAGAGGATGGGTCTGAGGCTTTGGCCATTTTCTCCCCTTGCAGATTCTGTATGGTTTATTCTGAGGTTCCTAACTTCAGTGAGCCAAATCCAGAGTACAGTGCCCAGCAGGCACCCAACAAGACGGTGAGTCCCATGGCAATGATTTGGGGGGAGGCAGGTCAAGCCAAGAAGCATGGTAGGGAACAAAGTCTGACTGTGTAATTTGTGTCTTCAGGTACAGGACAACAGCCCTACAGCTCCCCAGCCTACCACCGGAACCCCTGCTGCTTCTCCAGGTAAAACTGTTCCCTTCCATCCTTTGGTCCGCCTAGCTCCCCTACTCTCCCAGCTTAAAGAAATTCACTGCCCTCATCTCTTTTCTAAATTTCTCTTCTCTCAATATATCCTCATTCCGCCCAGTTTTCCAAGTTCATTTACAAGTCCCTGTGTTAAAAAGATTTGGGGACTTATTTCTATCACTGCTAGCTCTGGTACCTTTTTTCCACTACCACTCAAACACAAAAATGAGAACGATTTCTCCACAAAGATTGCAATCCTTCATTTTAGCTTGTTTCTGCTTCTTTTCTAGCAGAACCTTGCTTTTTCCCTTGACCCATTTCTATTCGTTACACAGTTCTAATACACTGTGTTACTTATATGACTCAACATGGAGTCCACACTACACAGCTTTTAAGCACTAAATAGTTCCCTTTTGGGGTCACCACTCTTCTTGAAATTAAAGGCCCTGCTTCTAGGCCTTGGAACTCAGAATTACAATTCTTCCATCACATGAACTTCAAGACCCTGCTTTTTGGTCTCTTGAGGAATTGGGGCCTTACTGCAGATCATCAGCTTTTAATTAGAATCACTCACTAATACCACCTCCTCTGTCCTCAGCTTCTCTTCAGGAAATTGGTTATTACTGCTCCTTTCTCCTTCTGGGTCATCTCTCAGCTGACCCTACTGTTCCCTGGGTGTTTGGCTCTCTCTTGCCTCAGATCTATGCCTTAGGTTTCTTGCTGTGAACACTAACTAGGGTTCAGGCTGCCTCTATCCTTCCACAGTTTGTGTCTGCATCCCCAGTTACCATTGTTTTCAGAATTGTTTGTATCAGAACCACCAGGGGTCATGTGTTTTTTGGAAACATCATGAAATAACATGTAATTACACCATAAAAATTAGCATTCATGCTCTTAACTGAAAATATGACTATCACTTATTTTCAGGTCTCCGCAACTCCATAATTTATAAAATTATTTTAGGGTACATTTAAGCCTGTTTGCCCTTGATATTCATTTGCCAGATGTATTTATTCACTTTGTTCTCTGCCAGTAGGTACAAAGGCTTAACAATTGATTTTCTGTACACTCTTTGGACTTTTTCTGTGAATTGAGGACAGGGCATTCATTATTCTTTATTTTTGGCTGCAGCTATCTTAGTTTGGTGGAGCAGCAGAGTTCAGAAGGGACGTGGTCTGAGACGCAGAAGCCTATGACTTCTACCCCATTAGGATTCATAGTGCCTTGTGTACATGAGAGGCAGGCCTGTGCCTTCGTTTAACAAACTTTTATAGATAAGTAATAAAACACAGCACCTGCCTTTAGGATGTTGTAATCTACGAGGGAGATAGTCACCCAGACAATGATTATAATACACTGTGGTAAGTTCTGTCATAGTGATAGGCACAGTTATGGAAGCTCTAGGAAGTCATCTCACACACCTGGCCCCATCGAACATTTAAAATATACGCAAAAATGTTACTTATTATTTTGGGAGTGTGAGAGTATATATAATGATTTTTTTGCTTATTCTTATCTATATTTTCCAAAATGAACTTGTATCATTGTGATATACACCATACTTTTTTTTTTTTTTTTGGCAAGGCAACCCTTGGTTGACCTCACAGATTGCAAAGACCTTGTCAGCTTACAATCCCTTATTTTTTATTTTTCATGCCTACAGCACCTGGTCTTCCTAGGTGGTCTCCTATCCAAGTACTAACCAGGCCTGACCCTGCTTAGCTTCTGAGATCAGACAGGATCAGGCTTATTCAGGGTAGCATGGCCATAGACCATACTTTTTTTTTTAAGCTCCTTCTTACATTATAACACAGAAAAACTTCAGGCCCTTCCTCTTCCCATGCTTCTCCAGTTTTACAGTCATTTTTGGTACAGGGGCATTTTGTCAGAGGTTCTTGAGGTTAGAACTAAACAGCTAATTCTAGGTCTGACTCCCAATAATACAGAGATGAATAAAAGAGAAAAATATCGTACTAGGGTTCATGTAGCAGCTTCTGAAATGACTGTTTAACTCTTCTCTGAGACTCATTTATACAATCCTCATTCTTTGCACTTGGTCCAGTTGGCATTAATGTGCAGTTGTGCTTGATAAAGACTGTACTACTCTCTGGGACATGGGAGGATGGACCCTGCTCCTACTTTAGTTGTCTAATTCCTGTGTTTCTTCGCTTCTCCCACAACTAGCCTCTGAGAGCCAGAACGGGAATGGACTGAGCACCCCACCAGGTCCTGGTGGTGGCCCACATCCCCCTCACACTCCCTCCCATGCCCCTAGTACCCGAATTACCCGAAGCCAGCCCAACCACACACCTGCCGGTCCTCCTGGCCCCTCCAATAACCCTGTCAGTAACGGCAAAGAAACCCGGAGGAGCAGCAAGAGATAGCAAGACATTCTCCGTTTCTGCCACCGACCATAATCCAAGTGTCTGCTAGAGAACACAGCCTCTGGCTTGGGGGGAAAGGAGTAAGTAGTATTTTAGCCACTAAACTTCACTGGAGGGGTGGTGAGCAGTGGCCTTATCCACCCGAAGCCCATAATTGCCCCTTGTCCAGCTAAAGCTGCCTGTCCCCTGGGATTCAGGGCCCTCTGTTGACCTCCTTCCTCTTTAGAAACGACAGTTACAGTCTGTTTCTTGTGTATGCATATGATGCAGAAGTCTAATTGAATCCCTCCTTCCTAATAAATGTTTCCACTCCTTACTAGACTCCTTTGCTTTTTGTGGGAAAATGCAGAGGTTAGCAGCTGGGCGTTTGGGAAGGTGGGGTGTTCCTAGGAGGAGGGGAAATAGGTTTCCTGTAAGGAGACCTTAGCAAAGCATGCCTGCCCCTTTAAGGTAGTGTCCCTCCCCTGCTCCCTCCCTGCAGGTGACCCTTGCCCGCGGGCCTACCTACCCCCCCTCCTCACAGCTGGAACCAAGAAGGCTGTGTCCCCCTTCCTCTGGGCGTCCTGTCTCCTGCTGTCAGGTAATACCAACTTCAGCCCCTGAACCAATCACCCCAATCAGATTGTGCTCCCCTGCTCTTAAGCCAGGTGGGACACTTGAGGGAGCCCAGATACTTCTTTCATCTTCCCACCAGAGCTTCCTCTTTCTTGGTCATCGATTCTGAGCTCTGGCTCTTATTCTCTGGTGTGAGAAATTGCTAAAAACAATATTTTCCCATGCATCTGGGGTTGCCACTTCTCTGCCTCTTCACACTCCTCTCCAGCTTAGGGACACCTGGGTCCAAATTCCTCAGAGAATGTGGGGATAAGGGTGGAGATGAATGAAACCTAGTGCCAGAAGTAAGGTAGGTGGGGTAGGAATATAAGCAGGGAAACACTAAAATGGGACCAAGTGGGTTAGGGAGTGGATTATTTAGAAGAAAAGGCTAGACCCAGATTCTCCTTAGCCATGTGGCTTTTCCAGGGACAGAGGGTGGCCCCTCCCTACTGGGGGCCCCCAGCAGAGACTGACCTTTGACCCCTACCCAAGAAACCAGTGAACCATTAACTCCTCTCCCCAGTGAGCCTTCCCACACTTGCCCCACCCCCTGACCCCGCCCCAAGGCAGGTGGGCTGGGGGAGGGGGCTTGTCCATCCCAGCCTTCCATCTGACGTGGCCTCCACTCCACCTGGGCACCTGGAGGCTGAGCCTGGCTCTCCTACCTGACTCAGGAACCTCTTAGCGTCCACAGCAAGGCTTGACAGGGACCTGAGGTGACGGAGCTCTTATGCTACCAGTAGGGGTGAAGTTCTGGGGATTGAGGGGGGATAAAGAGATGGGGAAAGGTTGAGGGGTGGGGTTTAGGGGACAGGGAATGGACTGTCAGCTCTGGATTAAGTGAGGGCAGCACTCTGGTCACGGAACCTATTCTAGGAGCTGGCAAATGAAAAGAGAGGTTGTTTCAGGAGGAGGCAATGGGGAAGGAAGAAGGAGGCTAGAGTGGGAGGTGCTGCTGGATTTAAGGTGGGGACTCTACCAGGAGTGAGGAATCCCTTCTGGCCCTGAGCTAGACAGAAGGGCAGGAACCCCACTCCTTCTTCTTTATTCTTCCAGGGCACAGTCCTCAGAATGTTCCAGGGGGAATAGAAGCTGGAACCAGAGCCTCTGACCAGTTTCCCCCAGTAATGGGGCTCCCAGTGAGTCATCTGCTAGCTGGCCTGTGTATATGTGTGGCCTTGGGCCGGGGAGAGGGCTCAGCCCCCAACTTGGGCCCTGCTGAGCAGGAGCAGAACCATTACTTGGCCCAGTTTTTCGGCCTATACGGGGAAAATGGCACACTGACTGCAGGAGGTCTTGCAAGGCTTCTCCACAGCCTGGGGCTAGGCCGAGTCCAGGGGCTGCGCCTGGGACACCACGGGCCTCCAGCTGGTCGGGCTGCACCCCCAGCTGGAGACAATTCCACGCACAGGTACTAAACCCTTCTCCTACCCTAAAATCTCACATCCCAGTTCTTCTCAGTGTTTAGATCAGTCTCCAGTTGCCTAAATTTCCTGGCTCCTAAAATCAGATTCCAGGGATTAGAAAATTTCAGTACCTGATTCCTTGTATCTCTTCAAGGCACTTTTTGCTTCTACTGCCTTCTAATTCTCTCCTCTTCCAAATCCCTGGGCCCTTCAATTCCTTGCTCTCAATCCCAACAATGCTCAATGTCTCCAGGCTGACTTGGCTCCCAATTTGTAGCATTTTTGGCTATTCCCTTGCCCCTGTTTCCTCTCACCCCATGGCTCCCATTCCTATAAACTGACAATTCTTAGATCCTCCCAGGGATCTGACATTCCATTCTGGGTCCCAGTAACTGCAGCCAGAGGCAAGTCATTCCTTTTCCACTAAGCTCCCTGGCAGCCTCTCAAGGAAGTTTCTCAGAGAACATGAGCAAGTCTGACTTGCTATCCCACCCATCCATTCCAGGCCACAGAACCCTGAGTTGAGTGTGGATGTCTGGGCTGAGCTGCCTCTGGATCCCTCCGGGTGGGGTGACCTGGAGGAACCAAAGGCCCCACCACCACCCCATGGGCCAGCCCCTTCGGGCCTGGACCTATTTCACAGGCTTCTGCTGCTGGACCATTCATTGGCTGACCATCTGAATGAGGATGTGAGTCTGATGATCTCTGGAGAGGGAGAAGGAGCCATGAGATTTGGATTAGCATGAAATATTTAAAGTCAGTAATTAATAGTTACTTAAAAAAAAAAATCCAGATGTGGTCTTAGGGTATGTTATTCCAATATGAAAAATGTTCCCTCTGGGCGTAGAGCAGATAAGCCACACCTAGAACTCCAAGACCTAGTTTATGGGTCACACTTGGCAAAGCAAAGAAACCAGAGAAGCAGCCCAGGGTAAGCTGAGACTTGCAGGGAGCTGACAGCTGTCTTCATCTAGAAAGACAATTAACTTGTTCCACGTGCACCAGACGGCAGCCCAAGCTAACTCTGAAACAGGCCTGGTGAGAGTGAGCACCCCATCGGAGGCAGCATTCAAGCGAAGGCTGGATAAACATGTGACAGGGCTATTGAGAGAAAGGTTGATGGCATTTCAGGTTCTCTTCCCTTCTAAGATTCTAGACTCCTTGTTGTCCAAGCAACTCCATGACCAAATCAATGAAATCATCAGGTGCTTGGGATATGGTAGTAATGTTCACTAGCACCCAATCTGCATTAAACTATTTGCGTTGGGTTGAATAATCATTAATAATGAATACACACTTATTATTATACGTACCTTTCCCCAGGCCCTGATGCACTGGGGACCCTGGGAGAGACCCAGCAGTCCATGCAAAATGGAAGGGCAGACATTACATATCTGAGTCACAGTTCAATGTATGACTCCTAACTCCCCTAGTGTCTGAATGGCTCCCAGCTGCTGGTCAATTTTGGCCTGAGCCCTGCTGCTCCTCTGACCCCTCATCAGTTCGCTCTGCTGTGCCCAGCCCTGCTTTATCAGATTGACAGCCGTGTCTGCATCCAGGCCCTGGCCCCAAATCCCCCAGGGGATCTACTGTCTGGTCAGTGGGTGAGAGTGGGTGGCGGAGCACTCTGAACCCTGGTAGGGAGTGGGACCCATGCCAAGAAAGGGGTTTCACTGGGGTTCTGCCTCCCCTTGCAGCATATCTTTGCCTCTGAGCCCCAACCCCTCAGCCCCAGCCTAACTTCAGCCCGATTTTCCCCAGCCCTGGTTCATAGTGCCCTGGCAGTCCTGCTGCTCAGCCTCCCTGCTCCCCTCTCCCTGCTGCTGCTGCGGCTCCTGGGATCTCGTCTATTGCGGCCCCTGTTGGGCTTCCTGGGGGCCCTGGCCGTGGGCACTCTTTGCGGGGATGCGCTGCTACACCTGCTGCCGCATGTACGTGGAGCCCCTTCCTTGTTCCCCTGCCACTCCCCCCCACAGAGAGCCCCCTCATATCCAAGGTGTTCCCAGTCATAGGGTATCCCCTCCCTCTCTGTCAGCCCACAGCTGCCTTCTAGCAGTGTATGAGTGAAGACTTGCCACTTCCCACCCAGGAGGAGGGGGCTGTTGTCCGGTGCAGGGTCTTCCGGGGTCTGCCCTCACCTCCTCTCTGTCAGGCACAAGGAGGGAAGCATGCCGGACCTAGTGGGCAACCAGAGGAAGACCTGGGTCCAGGGCTGTCAGTGCTCGGCGGTCTCTTCCTGCTCTTCATGCTGGAGAACGTGCTACAGCACCGAGGGCTCAGGCCAGTGAGTGACTCCCTTTTTTCCTCCTTCTGCCGAGACCAGAGTCCTAGCCAAGAACTGGCCACAGGAGCCAGGAGGTGAGGGGCCGAGTGTGCTCCTGGCTCTGCCATTTGCTTGACTCCAGGCCCTGACCACTACCAGGGAGTGGGTAGGGATCCCTCAGCATAGACCCAGGAACGGCCTCCTCTCCGGAGTTCAAGGCAACAAGAAACAAGGAGGTGCAAGCCTGGGAAGAGAGTAGAGGCCAAAAAAACACCCCAAGTGCCAGAAACAGAACCAGGTGTTCATTTTCCCAGCCAGTAGTGTGGCCTCTCCTTAGACTGCAGCGCTGCTGCCTCCTCTACCGGGAGGGATACCCTCCTATTTCAGAGATGCTGCAGGCGAAAAAGAAAAGATCTTGGAACACCAAACCTGGACCCAGAGGATGGCAGTGGGATGGCACTTCAGCCCCTACCGGCAGCTCCAGGTGACTAGAGGAGAAAATGAAGAGTAGGGTCCCGGCTCCCATTCTCACTTGCAGCCACCAACAACATGGTCCTTGTCCTTCTTCCTGCAGATCCAGGGGCTCAGGGCCACAGGGAGCAGGATAGCCAGTCCCCAACAGCCCCAGCCCCTCCTGGGCACCAAGGTCACAGTCACGGACATCAGGGTGGCAGTGATGCCAATATAACATGGATGGTCCTCCTGGGAGATGGTCTACACAACCTCACTGATGGGCTGGCCATAGGTGAGGTGGGGGGATGGGGGAAGGCAGGTCAGAGGCTTCTAGTTATTGGCTAGGGCTAGCAGTGGGCTAACAGGAAGTGGGAAGATGAGAGGACCAGAGCGGGAATGTAGGCCCCTGGCCTGGAGAGAGCTTTCTTCCAGACTGCTCACCTCCAGTCCTGTCAACCCAGGTGCTGCCTTCTCTGATGGCTTCTCCAGTGGCTTCAGCACCACCCTAGCGGTCTTCTGCCATGAGCTGCCCCATGAACTGGGTAGGAATGGCAGAAGTGGGGCCGGGGTGGAACTTGGAGGCTGGTAGGTAACACGGGTGAGGGGCAACCCTGGCTTATTCCCTCCTATCCTATTCTCTCTTCCCAACAGGTGATTATGCAATGCTGCTCCGGGCAGGGCTGCCCTTTCGGCGGCTGCTGCTGCTAAGCCTGGTGTCTGGAGCTCTGGGACTGGGGGGTGCAGCCCTGGGGGTGGGGCTCAGTTTGGGCCCTGTCCCCCTCACTCCCTGGGTGTTTGGGATCACTGCTGGGGTCTTCCTCTATGTGGCCCTTGTGGACATGGTGAGGTGTGGGGTGATGAGGAGAAAACACGGGAAGGGGGGAGGCGGGGTGTGGAGGAGGGAAGTATCAATCCCCCCATTTCCATCGCTGGCCACTGGGAAGTGTGCTGGACCACAGGGCCACAGGGCCACAGGGCCTAAGAAACAACAGGCTGGAAGTGTTTGGGCAGGGGCTGCTGATACTTCCTGATACTTTCCTCTCATGTTTTGGGGATAGAAACAAGGTCGAGATCCTGACATTCTTTTTCTTTCAGCTACCAGCCCTTCTTCGTCCTCCTGAGCCCCTCCCTACGCTTGAGGTGCTACTGCAGGGGCTGGGGCTGCTGCTGGGGAGCAGCCTCATGCTCACCATAGCTCTGCTGGAGGAGCAGCTACAGCCCCCGGTCTCTGATGGCTGATGGGGGCCAGTGGAAAGGCGTCCAGCTTGCCCTTCCTTCCCCCCAACCACAGGAATGGAGGCGGGACACAGGGCCAGTAGGAGCAATAGGATTTTAATAAACAGAACCCATCCCAAAGCCATGACTATGACAGTTGTACTTGCACCAAAACAGCATAGAAAACCAGGATGTGGTGGGAGACGGGCTCAAAGCAGGTCAGGGGAGGACGTGAGTAGGGACCTGGAGAGTGCAGGGTGCATAATTCTGCAGGGAGAGCATTGTGCTTTAGCCCAGGGAGGAGGGGGAGGGGTGGGGCAATGCACTGAGGTCCCCACTTTTTCCTGCTGCCCTCAGCACCCTGGAAATACAGGCATCTGGGCAGATCTGCCCTTTATTGCTGCCCACCAGCATTAAACACCCCCGACCCCAACGCTAGCACCACAGGCGGATCTGGGGCAGGGAGAAGGGCAGGAAGGGGAAAATTGCTTAGAGAAAGATTCAACTAGAATCCAGTGAATTGTGCTCAGTTCTTTTTACTTCCTACAACCGAGTACATGGGTCACAGGGTGGAGGGTGCAAAAGGACATGGAACATGCCCCTCAGTGCCCCCAGAACACCTCTGCACACAGGATGGTGGTGTCTGCAGCATCACAGGTCATGCAGGGCATGGGGAACGGGAGGATCACACACACATAGACGCCCACGGCGGGTACCAGACAGAGAACACCCCTGATTATACACAGCTGTACACAGGGAACCCCCAGGTCCCCAACCCAACCCTCTCCCCTGTCTTGCCGTCCCCCAGGCAGGAGGAACTGTATTGCTTTGAGAGAGCCACCCTGGGGGCCGCTCTGCCAGGCACCCTCCCCTCCCCTCCCACCCACCCCCATTTTGGCACATCTGCAAGACACGCGGCAGCGAGAGTAGGCACCCTCCCTCCCAGGCTTCTGTGGCTTGGAGTTGAGGAAGGGAGTAGGAGACTTAATCCTCCATCTTTCCCCTAGCCCTTCCCAAACCCCTACCAAACCCACTCCAGCCATAACCCACCCCCACCCCCAAACACACACATACAAAGCTGAGCTATCCAGGAATACAGGGAACAAGGAGATTGTCTGGGACGGGAGCGGAGGCCATGGGAGAAAAAGGACTGGAAGCAGACCCCACCCTGGTGTGGGGGTAAGACTGGCACAACAGCTACTTTAGTGCAATTGGAGAGGGTGCCCAGAGTGAGGGATGAAGATGGGAGGGGAAGGCTCTCCCCAATTTCCCTGGGGGCAAAGCCAGGCTCCCCAGGGAAGGGGCCTAGCAGGAGTGAGTGCGGGCCAAGGGCGGATCCTCTCATCACCCGCCACCCTCTGCCCTCCCAGATGCAGTGACAGTGTCCTCCTCACACCCAAGTGGGCAACAGCAGCCTCGGAATCAGTACCTTCAAGTAATTCATAGAGCAGACCCTCCCCACCCCAGCATCCTCTCATCTCTGGGATTTGGTCACTTCTCTAGGGGTTGGGTTGGGAGGTGGGAGTCCTCAAGTCAGACCCTTCCCTCTCTACCTCCCTCTTCCCAGACCACTGGGCTTGGTCCTCAAATATTCCTCACATCCGCCCTTGCCCAACATGGGTCAAGGCCGTGGAGGGCTGGAGCCATCACAATGGGGGGAAGGGGCTCCTTTGCCCTCCTCCTTACAAGGTAAGGTTCAAACTAGGCAGGATGGGGCCCCACAGTGGTTTGCCCCAGGAGGAGGGTTTCTGGGCTAGGGTCTGTAAGGCTATTTTCCTTTGCGGTGGGAAGGGGAGGCGGGGGATGAACACTGGGTGTGGGGAGAGGGTGAAGAATGGTGGAGAGGAAAGGAGGAAGGGGCCTCCCTGCTGGAGCACAGTCACTGGAGTCATTCAGACAAAGAAACACGCATGTGCACAAGATCCAGAGCGTGTCTGCTCCCAGCCCCTCTAGCCTGGCCTCACCCCACCTCTCAGGGCCCCTTCCAAGACCCCAGAGAAGGTTTTGGGGGTACAGCTGCAGAACCGTTCGCTCTGGCCCTACGTGCCCCCAGCCTCTTCTCCCCTTCTAGGTCTAGGGAGTAAGAAGGTGCTTGGGTGGGCAGACAGCGGTGGAAACAGTATTGAGTTTTCCTTTGGTTACATATTGAAGGCAAAGGTGAGCTGGACTTACAGTCAAACGGATAGGGATGAGGAAGGAAGAGGGGCCATGGCTGGGGCTGGAGAGGGAGGTGGGCCCTCCTCAGCCCCTCCACCCCAAGGAACACATGTCTAAGTGGGGTGGCAGTCCCTCAGTCTCATCTCTCCCACCCCCACAGCACCAAACAAAAGGAGAAGCCCCCTCCCCCAGGGGCTGCTCCCCACCCCAACCTGGGCTGTACATTCAGTGGTTTTCAGCAGTCCTATGGCTCAGGGGGCCAGGGGATGGGGGAGGTGGCCCATCAGTCTCAGCTGGACAGTGGCAGTGACCTGGGTCTGTTGGTCCATCCTGGGACCCACAGTTTGTGCCATTTGTTTTTCTGAAGGATAGTACACAACCCTACCAAAGCCACCGCCCAATCAGAAACGTATGCCCCAAAAATCAGAAACTAAAAACTGGCTCTTTTCATCTCGCCCTCTGATTCACACATCTGTTTCCCTGTCTCCTATGTAGCCCTCGCTGTCTCCTTTGCTGGGACCTGGGGCGGCTCCCAGGGTCCTCACTTGAAATAGGCTTTTTCTCAAAAGTGCTTATTAACTTGAAGCAAGTGCTTTAGAGCTGCGGTGGGAGAGGGGAA